TGAGGTTCATCTGCCGGGGCCAAGCACGCTTGGACGGTGGCAGGGAGGTCCTCAGGACGTAGATGGATTGCCTTACAGGGCTAACGAGCTCCATCTGCCCGGGGAGGGGCCCCGACCGGGAATCGAACCCGGGTCTCTGCAGTGACAGTGCACTCCAGACGTGTAATTATAGTTTTATTACATTTCAGAAAGTAAATAATACTGCTGTGTGTATCTTTATTCTCCCAGCACATACTCTGACTGACCAGTAGCCCAAGCTGCATGAAAGGAGACAGACATTGAGAATTAGAACATAAAATATTATCTGGCTCTTCAGGACACTTTTGGAGACATTTTCAAGTTTTTTGCTTTCTTGCTTCTGCAAAATATTTAAATGCTAGTCTTAGAGTTTCATTCATATTTTCAATCCCTTAATTTGCAAGGATTACAAGTTAATTTACAAATAAATCTGAGATTTATGAAATGAAATTAAATGTAACATTACTTACATCATTCTGATCATCTTTTGCATTGTAATAGATTATATCATTATTCTGCAAGAGAAAGAAAAGTAATTCTGTTAGTTTGAAAGGAGAGAATAAATTTAAGTAACAATACTCTGTACTATTGCAAAATACATTTTTATATAAAGAAAACAGTTCTTTATCTTTTCTCTTTGAAATAAGACAGACTTAGATCTTTGCTTGCTCTCTGTTGCATGTAGTATTTGCCATGCTCATCCTTAACTTCATTCATTTAATGCTTCTTCCTTGGGAAGCTACATAAGTCACTCAAAACACAGCCAGAAAAGTACAAACTCCAGAGCTCATAAAAGACTTCCATAAGTTGTTTCTTTTACAGACACGTGACTTCCCCCTGTGCAATTAGGTGATTTATGCACCATGACATCCAGCAGACAACAGATACAGCAACGCACGGGCATTGCTAAGTGGGTTAAGTATTTGTTGCACACACATTTATTGTTCTATTCACCTCCCATGGCGAAAATACAGTCTGTGAAAATACATCACAGCAGTCTGGCTGTGGTAGTGGAGAGCAGATCCTGGCAGCTCTGTAGAAACACTGCACCATGTAATTCAAGCAAAGCAAAGAAGGAGAAGATTACTAGTTTCCCTTACAGAATCAGTCAGAAGCTTCATTCAGCAGTTTGGAGATTGGGGTATTTCCTAGGGAATACAGTGTTGTTTTACCTTGAAATATTTCTGAACCATTTAAAAGCCTTGAAGATTTAGGTTTGCTGTATTAGCTTTCCACCTAATAGAATTTCTGCAATGCGCCCAACAGTTTTTCAGCAAAATCAAACAATTGTTACATGCATTTCTGTATTAAATAGTATGGACATAGTATTATTACAGATTTTTAATAAATGAGAAATTACATTTCTTCATGTCCAGCAGTGACCTGAAAATAGGTGAGCGTTGCTGACCTCCAAAAATTGTCCTAATTTATCTTTTCAGTTCTGTTTATGATAATACCTTTGGATTTACTTATCTAAAGAAAAAGCTGAACACAACAAAGTGTTCTCTTTTATAAACACCAACAGGAAAGAATGCTTTCAGTAATCATTTTTCAAGTGGGTAAGGCAATGACAATTATTACTTGCACTAAAAAAGTACCATGACATGTACTACAAGGTAATGCACTTCATTTTATAAACCATCGTTTTCCTCACTCCATAAATAATGACATAATTTATTCTCCTTTGTGACCTTTTAGAGAGTCAGAGATGAAATATATTAGAGATGAGCTAAATGCCATTTGAGGTAAATGCTATTAACATGAACTCATCCTTTTTGCTTTTCCTTTAAAATGCACTTTTCCACCAAGATGCTGTTCTATCCACAGGTCAGTTGGTTTTGTATCAGTATCTGGACAACAAAGCCATATCTCAGGGTGTTGTAGACACAGGAGGAAATTCCTTTAATCATTCAAGACAAATGATGACTAATAAGGTAATCGCTTATCCACTGTTATAAAGAAATGGCCATATAATTCTGTGGAGGCCTCAGAGTATGTTTGAAGAGGCAAAAGATTCTATTTTCATTGGTTCCACTTACTTTTTACATGGCTGTAAATAATTTGGTCTCTTCAAAACACCACCTGATTCTCTAGCAGGTAAAGGATCCAACTCTGAGTGGTACTAACCAGAAATATTAACAGAAGTGCTTTCAGCATAAAGTGATCTGCTTAGTTTAAAAACAAACATTAAAATGTTGTTTCACTTCAGAAGACAGGAGAAAGAAACACTTCTTTAATGAAAATTCCCTATGTTAAGTTGTGTTAGGGCAGTTCCCCTGTAATCTGTTCCCAGGAAGGTTTTGTTGAGGAAAAACGAGCTGCAGGAAAAGCAACACAGACATACCTATCTGGATACACTGTTTTTGTTTACTGCTTCCATTTTTAAAAGTAACATTTTGTTAAAACACAATGCTATTAGGCGCTCTCTCATATTGACTCTCATCTAGATATCAGTTTATTTTCCCAGCCCCTCCCCATTGCTCATGTTTACCATAGCAGTACATCCTCTCATAGAATCATTATTACATAGGATTTTTAACACTGTCCTTAACAGATACAATTGTGTTTACCTACTTAAACAAAATGATTCTTTATTGCCACAATTATATTTTCCCCTGTCTTTTAGAGTTTTATTTATTGTTTAAATTGCTCAAAGCTGGCATAGCTTTATTATATTCTTCTACTGGACTGAATAGTGTTTTTAAAGTCACCTATTAAAGAATTATGTTTCAGAAACATGATATATTTACAAGTTAATTAAAATAAACACCTCCCCATATCAAATGAATTAGGTATTTTGTTAGGCTGTTCATGTCCTGTACTTCATTACCCTGCCTGGATATATTACCTATATAATGAAAAAAAAACTAACACTGACATCTAACATATCTCACTACTCTTAATATAGAAAAAATGAGAAATCCAGTACTACAACAGACTAAATGCTGTACAGTTCACAAATTAGATTCATGGATCAGTCAGGTCTTTAGAGGACAATTTTTCATAATTTACCCACTGCTAGTTGACAAGAACAAATTGCTTTGTTGCCGATACTCACGTGAGTAGTTTATTTATTTATTAACTTCTTGACACAAAGAATTTGAATTTTCCCACTGTTGTACACTTTTGCCACCAGGTAACACTACACACTTGGTCATCAAGCCTAAGATACAATGTAAATATCAGAGATACTTATTTTTGTTCTTTATCCAATAACCCTATGAGAGAGAAGGGATAAATATTCACTATTGCTTCTGGTCACGAATAAAGGGATTTAGTAAGACAGTCCAGAAGCTGAATTTATGAAAAAGAGACTTTAGGAGACCATATGCATACATTAGAAACTTTAGCATAGTATCAGTACATGAGTTTACATAATCTTTGCAATTGGAAAGGTGAAGGGTAGTTTTCACTGTATTTAATTCTCCTTTCAAAGCAAACAGTTTCAGTATCTGACAAGGGCATTAGGCAAAGCATATAAAAATTACATTAAGGACCAGGTCATAAATGTTTTATTTGTGACTCTTACTATTTTCTTTTCTCTCCTAATAATCTTCTTCCACACTCCCACTGTTATTATTATCTGCTGAAGTGAGATTGTTCCACTGTCTCTTTATTGCTTTTCATTTCAATAGTTGTTTGTTTTCCAGCTTGGGGTATAAAACAATTCCAATGGGAAACACTACATATTGGCTACTATTAATAAGTTCTTAAATTTCACCACATATAATTCAAAGTTTCTGGTCTCTATAGTGTCTGTGTCTAGAGGTTTGAAGAAGCACACATCTGCAGATGAAATTTGAACTCACACCAACACTAACTTACACTCAGGTTTTGATTCTCTACTGAGCAACTTTCCAGACACAGTCTATTGATTCAACAAATAAATGCCTAAACTCAACTCAGGATTACGTGAATGGAGCTGAAGTTGGCTTGTCATCACAGGAAATAATGTTTTGTTCAATCACATTCTTTCAAGAACAACAAAAAGGGATTACAGCATAACAAGACATATCTGATACTACACATAATAATGTATACTAAATTGTAATGATACATCGATGTCACTTTGTTGTTAAAAGCTATACATCCTCCTTTAACAAGTGCCAAAAAGAAAGCTCCTTGTCACTGCTGCCACATGGTGTCTCTAGGAAAACCTCCTCTCTAAATGTTATGTCTTTTTTGTTTGTTTGTTTTGTTAGAAAGATTGTATCTGTGGTTTTTTTTTTTTTTTTAATATCTGTTTTGCCACAAGAGATGTTTGCCTTTCATTCAGGAAAGAAAAAAAAATACTCTAAGTCTTAAGATTTTCCACAAACACCCTATGTGGTCAATTCAGAAATGTTGCTTTCATTGAACCTGTGGTCAAGATTAAATGTGCCCTCAGGTCTGTCCATGGGCTCCCTAGTGATTTTATGCAACCCAGTGTCCATGATGGAGCCCAAAATGGTTACAGAGGAGACTGAAGGCCTGAAATGAATACTAGAACTTTATGAAACGCTATAACAAACTACCAGAAAACAAATAAATTATTTTAAAAAAAGGGAGACGAAGAAACTTTTTCTGCAACTTTCGTATATTAAGAAATTAATGTAATGTATTAATTTAGATAGACATCACAATTATCCTTTTTCCCCCTAAAGTAGCAGTTCAAAAACAATTGTAGGAAAAATGTGAAAGCAAAAAATATTATACTTTTATTCATTTCAGAGACGTTAGAAGATAATGAATTCCCTCAGAAAAGAAAACAGAAGAGTGTTAGTTAAAGATTTCTATAATTCAAAGATTTACTTCAGTGAAGCACTGGAGGCAAATCTAAGATTAATGAAGTGGATTATATTGCAAATATATATATATATGTGTATGTATATACACTACTGCATAATTATTAGTGCATGCTTTAAAATATGAAATCAGAGCCAGTGTGTTTCTTTAGATTTTCTTTTAAAACAGGATACTTTCCATGACTTTTAAGTATTTTACCCAAAAAAGTGCTAAAGCACCCAAAGTGAGGCAATGTGTAAAAGCTCCTCCATACTGTAGTTAATCTGCAGCTAGTGAGGATTATTTTGGTTTTCAGGGAATAAGGTAGAGTTAGAAATCAAAATTTGAAAGAAACCTAACCATATTGCAAATATATGTCTGATTTTGATGCGTTAGTTTAAAAATAAGGTCTTAGAATTACAGATATAAATTTTGAGAACATTTTAAAATCATATTAATCCCATCATTTGGAAAAAACATTCACATTAATGAAAGAACTGGGTGTCCTTTTGCTCAGCATGTGGCAAGAGAAATATTTATAATACTGGTCCATTTCACTTTTCATAGGCAGATCAAATGAAATTAGTGTAAATGCCTACAAATGCTAAAAAAAATCATTAAGTATTAGTAAAACATCTGTTTTAATTTTAGAAAACATTTCGTTGTGTCCCCTTGGATACAGAAGTGCATTAAAAAATGTTCATTCTAATACCTTTGGGGTACTTAAGATTTAAACCCAGCCTAATAAATT